ATGTGTGACCACGTCACCGGTCACACATTGTAATGCAGTCACAAACTTTGATAGAACACCGCCATCAGTGGGGTACGGCCGGTACCCATGTGAGGGGTCTGGGCAGCCTGGGGGGCCTCTTACATGAGTATCAGCTACACTAGGGGTGGCATGGCAGAGGTGACAGGAGAGGGGGTGGAGGAGGCCAGGCCCCAGCAGCAGCAGGTAAGAGGAGTTGGGAGGAGGTACAGGGAAAGGGCCCCCGGCGACCAGCCCACCTGAGGCCCTGCAGAGCCCACCATAGAGTCTCAGATGGGCTGTGCAGGTTCTATGGTGTGATCTGCAGAGTCCAGTGCGCTACTACGCCCCGAGTCCAGTGCGCTACTGAGCCCCGAGTCCAGTGCGCTACTGAGCCCCGAGTCCAGTGCGCTACTGAGCCCCGAGTCCAGTGCGCTACTGAGCCCCGAGTCCAGTGCGCTACTGAGCCCCGAGTCCAGTGCGCTACTGAGCCCCGAGCCCAGTGCGCTACTGAGCCCCGAGCCCAGTGCGCTACTGAGCCCCGAGCCCAGTGCGCTACTGAGCCCCGAGCCCAGTGCGCTACTGAGCCCCGAGCCCAGTGCGCTACTGAGCCCCGAGCCCAGTGCGCTACTGAGCCCCGAGCCCAGTGCGCTACTGAGCCCCGAGCCCAGTGCGCTACTGAGCCCCGAGCCCAGTGCGCTACTGAGCCCCGAGCCCAGTGCGCTACTGAGCCCCGAGCCCAGTGCGCTACTAAGCCCACATATACCTATTTACATTCTATACATAGCATAAAGGTAGAAAACGATATATATATGCCGTCTTATCTTCATTTTAGATGTCAAAAGGCTTTTGTGGCTCCCGGTGATTTCTTTTCGGTGGGAAACGGGTCCAAATGGCTCTTTGAGTGTTTAAGGTTGCTGACCCCTGGTCTATATAAACATCCACAACGCCTCCGCACCTGGAGCCACTTTATCCAATGCGCATTGGTCTTTTGATAAGAGGATATTTGTTCATAAATTCCAACTGAGGGAGAACATACAGACGATGTGAGCATGAGAGGGGTAGGGCTTGGGACCTAAGAAGACAGCATAACCATAAAGGTTATTGTCAGAAGGGACTAAAGTACTCGGAAAAAAAACCCCTCCCATTAAAGGCATTATATGGAAACCGTGGCTTATATGGAGTATGGTTTGGGACCCAATGGGACAGTGCAGCCAAACAGGTTGCAACCTAAAGAAATCAAAGGGTCCTCCCATGGAAGGCAGTGTATGGAAATTATGGCTTCTATGGCATAGGGCTCGGGACCCAACAAGACATTGTAACCAGAGAGGTTCTGGAAATATCCACAATTCTGAGGTATTATTGATGTAACGAGTCCTCGGATTTAGCATTGCGGCCATATTTGTTTTTTCACACACTAAGTGTCCTCCTTTTTGTATGTAATCTAAGCTCCTGCACCCTTCCTGTCAGCTCCAACCATTCCGGCCATTCCTCTCTCGTCAACAAGGCATTTGCGTCCACAGAGCGCCGCCGCTCGCTGGATGTTTTTTTATTTTACGATCCGATCTGATAAACCTTTAGATACCGCTGTGTGAAAATCCCAGGAGATCAGCAGTTGCCGAAACACTCAGACCAGCCCGTCTGACACCAACAATCAGGCCGCAGTCAGAATGACATTTTTTTCCCCTATTGTTTTGCTCACAGTGTGCAGGGAAATCAGAGGAAGCATTTTCAGTTTTCAAGAGGAGCCGGTACAACTGTGCAAGACTGAAGGGGAGGACGGAGGTCAGATAGAAGACTGAAGGGGAGGACGGAGGTCAGATATAAGACTGAAGAGAAGGACGGAGGTCAGATATAAGACTGAAGGGGAGGACTGAGGTCAGATAGAAGACTGAAGGGAAGGACGGAGGTCAGATAGAAGACTGAAGAGAAGGACGGAGGTCAGATATAAGACTGAAGGGGAGGACTGAGGTCAGATAGAAGACTGAAGGGAAGGACGGAGGTCAGATAGAAGACTGAAGGGAAGGACGGAGGTCAGATAGAAGACTGAAGGGAAGGACGGAGGCCAGATAGAAGACTGAAGAGAAGGACGGAGGTCAGATAGAAGACTGAAGGGAAGGACGGAGGTCAGATATAAGACTGAAGGGAAGGACGGAGGCCAGATATAAGACTGAAGAGAAGGACGGAGGTCAGATAGAAGACTGAAGGGAAGGACTGAGGTCAGATAGAAGACTGAAGTAAAGGACGGAGGTCAGATTTAAAGCATAAAAATGAAGATTGAAGGAGAGAGTTTGTAGTTACCTTTTTTATAACCATTTCTATAGATCCGTTTACTGAGCTGTAACTATCATTATTTGCCATCAATTATTGATTTATTATTTCCAGCAGTGCAAGCTCAAATCGCGATCATTATGAGACTTAAAGGAGAACTATGAGATGAGTGATTTCCACTCACCTCATAGTTCTAGCCGACCTGTGACAATGAGACTGTCACAGGTCGGCTCAGTAGATCGGGAGGTGAGCGAACACATACCGGTCGCTCACCTCTCAATCCTCTGCCGTGACAGGGGAGGGGCTGGATTCCCCCCTCCCCGCTCCGATCTGCCAGCACTGACTGGCGGAACGGACAGGGGGAGGGGGCGGGTACAGCTGGCTCTGCCTCTAGATAAGCAGAGCCAGCTGTCACTCACGCAGCTGGGCGGATCCCGTCATCTACGTCGGGATCCGCTCCGGCTGCGTCGTCTCAGTATACCGCGAGCTGTAGCTCCCTATATACTGAGCTTAGGGTGACGGGAGGACGCTAGTTTGTGTCCTCCCGTTACCCTAAGGAGAACTATGGGGGTAAAACACTGACCCCATAGTTCTCTTTTAACACGCAATATAATTATGCGAATTGAGGCTTTTAAGTGGTAAATAAGCAGCAATAAAGGAAAGGAGGCACTTCAAGGTCCCAGCATGCCTTATACAGCACCCCAGGGAGCCCTAGATTTGATGTAACAGTTGCTGGGCCTATAGGGACCCAGGCCCAACTTTCGCACCTCATTGTCCTATGATGGGTATCATCATCATGATCTAATAGAAAGGTGGGGACGCATTTTGGGCTCCAGACATATATTCATTTCCACTCCGTCCAAAAGTCAATGTTCCTCCATTTTCTTCTTTTGTTAAAGTCTCCCTTCCAGGCTCTTCCTCAAAAGCTTTGTGCCCGTGCCTGCTCTCAACAAGCCAACATGATCTCTGAAGATACACCTTCCATGGAGTAGAATAAGGAAATTGACTGAACTATGTGATACACACAATGAAATATCCTTCTATCTCCTGAACAAGTAGACTATTGGTCTAAGAAATGCGTACAGCTTATCACGGCGTTTTTCTTGTTTACACGGAGGAACCCTTTATGTAACTTTCAGGCCTCAGGGACTCGGTACATTTGCCTTGCATCACTGGGAAGAATGCTCCTTACATTGGGGGTCAGTGAGAAGAATGCTCCTTATCGTCAGAAGTTACTGATCTGAATGGCAGAAATTACTCAAGGAACCCCTATCATCCTCCGGGGGAACCATAGGAGGGCTCCACGGAATCTAGGTTGGGGAGGGGCCGGTTTATCATCTTCCCTTCCTATTGGGATTGATGGTTTAGATCAGCGGTTCTCAACCTTTCTAGCGCCGGGACCCCTTGGTAACATTTGCCAAGTTGTGGTGACCCCCAACCGTAAAATGTAGGGATGCACCAATACTAGTATCTGTGTGGGCTCACGGGAGCCTATGCGGGCTCTCAGGTGGCTAGTGGGACTCTCTGTGGGGCCCAAGCACTTACCTCTCCTCACTCCTACCCGCTCCCCTCTCTCTGATCCTCTCCGGTCGCTGATGCTGCAGCGCCATCTAGGAGAACTGACACTGCCATGCTAGGAGGAGCCTAGAGCAGCACAAGGCACGTGGGGACTCCCTCAACTGTGGGTTGCGACCCACAGGTTGAGAACGCACTGGTTTAGATGAACATTCATTGAGAGAAACATAATATTAAAATATGTCTCCCCTATAAAAGTGATAATGTATTGATAACATTGATCGGGGGGAGGTCACGGCCGGGAGGCGCTCTATTGATCACCATTTGATGGTGTAATAACCTGGTTACCTTTCAGTGGAATATTCTTTTTAATATCTGTGTTAATAAATTAGTAGGGAATAGGGATGCACCGATACCGATACTAGTACCGGTGCCGATACCGAGTATTTGGGTGAGTACTCGTACTCGCCCAAATTCTCCGATACCTAGCACGAGCACTTCCTGTATCAGCAAGCTGGGCAGCCAATCATTACACGCTGCCCGGTTTCCTGATTGGCCAGGAAACGGCTCCATGCTCTCTCGTCACTTGTGATGAGAGAGCATGGAGCCGACTTCCCGGCCAATCAGGAAGCCGGGTAGCGTGCAATGACGCGCTGCCCGGCTTCCCGATTGGTCAGGAAGCTAGCAAATCCGGAAGCCAGGCGCCGTGTAATGACGCAGCGCCCGACATTCTGATTGGCCGGGAAGCCGGCGTCATGCTCCCTCGTCATCTCGTGTATCATAATATTAAGAAAGTGACCTTAAAGCATTAGTTTGTATTGCTTTAGAAAAAAATGTGACCTGTCCCTTTAAGAAAAAGTATCGGTAATTGGTATCTGCGAGTACTTGATCAAAAGTATCGGTACTTGTACTCGGTCTTAAAAAAGTGGTATCGGTGCATCCCTAGTAGGGAACAAATCTTTGAGTGATATGATTTTATGGATCTGCGATGGAACCTTCCAAGTCTCTTTCTTTTTTTCTCTCCATATTAGTAAATTTCGGAGCGGGTTGCAGATTTCCTCTCCGATTTTAGGGGGGAGCGCAGCACATTGCGCGGCCGCGATAATAGAATATGTTGGCGTGAATATCGATGATGTTTTTTTTTTCTATACATTGTTCTGCTGCCGTCTGCAGTAACGTGCGTTTGACTGATTACCCCTCCTGTGTGTGTCCCGCAGGGCCTGGCCGGCTATTTTGACGCGTTCTTCCAGAAGGGTTGTCATACGCCGGTAAGTACGTTCAGACGCCGGTTCCAAATTAATTATGGGAAAGGTTTGCGTTTAAATCGGCGCCCGGGGCTATGTTGGGAACGAGCTGCTCCTTTCCTGTGGTTGTAAGCATTTAATGTGCGTGTATGTCACCGTGTAATAACGTAATGTACCGTGATATTACAAAATGCTGCTCTCTATCCGCAGGTCTCCTTTTCCACCGGCCCGGCGTGCGCCAAAACCCACTGGAAGCAAACCGTCTTCCTTCTGGAGAAACCGACTGACGTCAAAGCAGGTAAAGGGGCGCAGTGCCGCCAAATTTCGGGGTAGTTCAGGTGTATAGGCGCTCACTATAATCCCATAGAAGCTTTAACATGTCAGTGTCCAAAAGTGCAGGCGGGAGGGTGACACCACTTTGTCTGATAGGGTTAAGGAATACAGCGGTGTCACCTCCCCACCCCAAGCCTGCTAGGCAGCAGCACAAATTATGAGTCGTCACTCTGCTCTCTCCTCCAACATGCAGCAGATCCTGATTGGCTCCTAGTCATGCCCCACCTCACCCTCAGCCTGCTGGTTGGACAGCTAAGGAACAGCACATGTGATCAATCGTCACTCTGCTCTCTCCTCCAACATGCAGCAGATCCTGATTGGCTCCTAGTCATGCCCCTCCCCACCCTCAGCCTGCTGGTTGAACAGCTAAGGAAAAGCACATGTGATCAATCGTCACTCTGCTCTCTCCTCCAACATGCAGCAGACCCTGATTGGCTCCTAGTCATGCCCCTCCCCACCCTCAGCCTGCTGATTGGACAGTTAAGGAAGTTTATACAGTTATATTGTAACACGTAAAGTAACCTATATGGGAGGGGAGGGTGGTAGCAAATAGATCTGATTTTGTGAGCTGCTCATACAGTGTGCAGCGTAATTCTTGAGCCTTCCACAGTCCTCTTCCTCCTCCAGCAGCTCCTCGGGGGCGGGCACAACAACATAGTGCATTCTATCAAAGGGTGATAATTAATAGATCTGCTCGTGTGAGCTGCTCATACAGTTTGCCAGAAACTTCCTGAGCCCTCCACAGTCCTCTTCCTCCTCCAGCAGCTGCTCGGGGGCGGGCTCAAGCACACAATCCTTTCTATGGAATGGTGATAACACATAGACCTGACCATGTCAAGTGCTCACACAGTGTGCAGGATACTCCCTGAGCCCTCCACAGTCCTCTTCCTCCTCCAGCAGCTCCTCGGGGGCGGGCACAAGCACACAGTGTGCTTTCTATTGTATCCAATTTTCTTAAAGGTAACTTTTCATGAAAAAAAAAAAATGGAAATCACTTTTATTGAAAATGCTTTTCGCCACACTGACCTATAAGCCTCTGAAGATGTGCAAATAGTTGTACCTCAGATTATATAAAAGCGATAAGTCAGGCGAATCGCGCACAGCGGCATCCTCCATGTTTCTCTAACGATCGCTGTACTTGAAAGCTGGAAGGGCGCACTACATAATTCTGCTTTACTGAATTGTTATCTCGGAGATCTGACATTCTGCCATTTGAGACTATGTAAAGGATTTTGTAGAGT